AATATCATTATAACTAAAGCACTTTTTCCTTTTCAGATTTATAGATTTTTGTTGATAATCTTTACGAATCATTAGAAGTCGTCCACGAAGTTATGCATATTTTTGAAGATTTACGTCATTGACTATTTGTTTAATTTTTGTTTTTATTTTAATGTGTAATCAGAAATCGAAGTCCAATGCACACTATTGTAATTTGTCCTCCTTCCAACAAACGAAAATCTAAGTCGGATATCTCTACGAAGTAGAAAAGCTTATCATGTAAAATATATTGGACATAAAAATGTGTGTAATCCCGTTAAAACAAAATTTAAAACAATCGCATTTTTTTATTAAAAATTGTTAAGACTTTTAAATTGTAAATGTTAATAATTTTTGTTATTAGTATTATCTAATATTTACCAATTGTATAAAACCATTAGTACAAATCTTAATAATTAATTTTAATGATAAATATCGTATTGTACATAATATTTTTATTATTTTTTTTGTTGTGTATTCAAATTTTTAATTTTAAGTATTATAATGTTTATTTGTTACACTGTATATTTATCGCATAATTTAATTATTTTTACAGCAAATGTTGCTACTAATATGGCATGTTTAAAAAAAATTGTTCTGTATTAAACCCACCCTCTAGTATAATATGATTAAAATCTCATTAAAACGTTAATATTATAGTTATTACTCGAATCGAAAATTTTCATCGGAATCGTCGCTCATCATAAATCACAGTTGGGTTAATAATTAAAATTTCATTAAATCCGTAAATTTCATTCCGCTGATTTTCTTCATCGATTTACGTTTTATTTTCCTATTACTATTATTATATCTAATTCAACGTGTAATCTCCTTTAGATGTTCGAGTATTACTTATTTTTTTTTTCTTGCCTGTTTACGGGACAGTGCGTAAATCCTCGTTTGATTTATATCATCCGATTATCCGTTTAATTTATTACTTGATTTTACGTTTGGTTTACTATCTCCTGAAGTTTGACTTTAATTTAGAATTTATAAATCGTATGAGTCCCCTTATCAGAATAACTGGTATCTATTAATATTTACTACTATAGTTTGACCCTGGTGTTTCGTTTATGTTTCTTTACTCAGTCCCGTTGAATAGTGATACATTAGTAAAATAGTTTATTATATAATTTCTTCCGTTTATTAATTTGTTGCGCAATTTATTATAATTATTTTTTAGTTTTTTATGTATTTTATAATTTAAAATGACACTAATCATTTTTCATTTGATTTTTTTTTTTTTTTAATAGCTATTCGATTAGTAGAACTATTGAAATATTACGTGATAATAAAATAGTTTTGGCACTCAAATCTATAATTTCGTGTTTAGAAATAATAATAATTGCTCGTTACGCTTAAAATCGTTAATGCAAATTTTCAAATAAATCAGAATATAAAATTATATCCATAGAGTTTATAACGCGTGAATAATAATTATGATTTAGTATCCACTGTGACGCGACCAAAATCCATTATTATCGTCGATACTTCAAAATACGCGTGCACGAAAATGTTTAAATATATAAAATCATACTTGAAAGTATGTATCACATCTGGGCTAGAGCATAGGTACTGGAAAAAATTAACTCCGTCCGCTTGATCTTTAATCGATATATTATCATTTCAATAAAATTAATCCCGTTTAATAAAAACGTTAAACAAACATATCATACTCCAAAGTGGTATTTTGAATTTATCTGTAAACTTATTGTTACGGTGATCAAAGAAGATTTTGATATAATGTAGTATTTAATCAAAACAAAACAGTAGAATATTGTCTAGTAATAAAATATGAAAACATTATTTGTTATAATGTATGATTGACGGTGACTACAAATTTAATGTCGAAAAATCCTCTACTTCTCTTGAAATATTATTTCGGAGTGTCTGTTTACGTATAACGTATAGGTAGATACGAGTATTCTGATTTGTAGATTCTGAGCACGTCGGAAAACACTTTTCGGCGAAATTGAAACGCCCAGAGATCCATCAAACGTACAGAATGTATACGGGAAATTGAAATGTGAAAGTACGATTTATTCTTCCATAATTTCCTCGATGATAAGTTTTCCGAAGCGTACCGAAAAACTGTAGCCTGATAGTAGAATATGTCTGGAAAAAAAATAAAACGAGTCTAATATTCGTAATGTAATGCATATATACATATATTCCTCAGTGTTACTCCCGACCGTGTTCAACTTTTCATGTGGCAACCCACCGTACAAATTATATTCAATATAATCCACAAAGTCGGCTTTTTGCTGGAGGTAATTCACTTAACTTTGATTTTTTTCTTCCACAGTCTATCTAAAGCATTACTGCTCAAATTGAATACACTAAAGTATATTAGGCGTTAATATATAAGTACTATACTTACGTTTTAATCGAGCTACACAAAATTTCAGTGGTGTAATTAGAGTAAGGTCTTGGGAGAGGATGGGCAATTTTTGATATTTTTTTATATGTACATGATACTTTAATTTTTTTTAAAAGATCATAGGGAGCTGGATCCTATCCCTTAAGATGATACAATTGACGAATTCAATTCGTATGAATTATTGGCGGTCATTATCCTCAAGCCACAGAACGATATCACCCCCTTTAGGTAGCTATAATGATACATACCTTACCTTTATACGTTATCAACACCACCGCACGATTCGGTTTACTTTTTTTTTCTCGGTCTTATGTATAGGTATTAGGTATAATGTGTCTATCGTTCGGCGGCTACCGTTCGAAATATAAATTTCACTTTGCGTTATTATTATATTATTATACAATATAATATAATATGTAACACGTCACATTGCGGTGGCGAATAACTTTACTGACGTGTCGGCGTGATGATGACGATGATCGTTATAAACCGACACGCGAACGGGTTTTCAACGGGCAGTTCGTAGGGAGCCATGTCAAACGATAATGATATCGTAGGGACATCGGGTCTCGTTTCAATTAAATTTCGGTACGATGACGACGCACTGGCATGTTTTTAGGCGAAATCGATTTTATAATAATTATATTATATTAATATACGTCGTCTTTGTGGGAAGGGGGAGCTGGAAAGAACCTAAAACATAATCTAACCATCGACGTCACCCGATCCGTCCACCGTGCGAGCGTGACGTTATCGCGCATTTCGTTTGCCGTAAAATGTTTGGTACCAGGGAACAAGGGCTTAAGTCAATTTCGTATGGTATTAAATACAACCAAATTGCGATTTGAAAATCGCTTGATGGCATAATGTCTGAATTGCTACATAATAATATATGATTCGCGTTTTTCAGTCTAATGAACAGCGCGCCGTAGTGACTGAACATATTTTAATTTCCGGTATAACATGCGTTAGAATATTATACACTTATAAGTTTAAAGATGTTAAGACCGAAAAATAAAACAAACAAAAAATTAAGCTAGACATAATTGTAAAAAAAAAATTGACTAAAGCCCATCTCCTGGATCAAGGAAATAATAATGTGCGTTTTCGCCCCTCTTTTCAATGCACATATTTTCTTAGCTTAGAATCCTGTTGGTTAGTTGAACATGAAATAATCGTTAGTAGTAAAGAGGTTGAAAATAAATTTTAATGTGGATTGTATAGAAATGTACGTAAAATATTACGTGCCGGTAAAACATATTCGGTAAAATAAAGTAGGGAGAGTTAATACATTATTTTTTAATTACTTCAAGTTATTATCCTAAAAAAAAAAAAAACTATGAGCTTAATTAATTTTAAGAATATAAAAAAAAATAAATAAATTGAGTCACCTTGATAGTAAATAGTAATTAAATTAAGATACACATTTCCAAGAAAATAATAACCAAAATAAATTTAAAAGTTACTTTTTTAAAATTACGCTGAACTAAATTTGTAAACGTATTTTGTACTTCTTATATGAATTTACTTGTATAGTCTTGCCATATAATATAATTTAAAACGGAAGGGGGCCAGAGAAATCGAATAAAACGACTATTTGAAATGTTATTTTCGCTAAAATAATGTAACTTCTCAGTATACTCAATAAATATCATTATTTATACGAATACTAATGTTTTACAATAGAAGAAAATCAATAATTTACGAGGCATTCCCGTGTAGCATTGTAGTCACATTGTAAGTCAAGTATATTAACCCAAAACTATTCGTATACTAAGAAGTTCATAAAACCTTTATGTCAAAGGAACGTTTCAATTTTGGATACTGGTATTATTATATTGCATACAGTTATACACTTATAGTTGGCTTATAATGTTATGTGTGGTTTTCCGTCCGTCCTGCCTTTCGCAATATAATTCCCCGTTGTTATTATTATTATGAATACAAGAACAGCTTGTATAGCGTCTCCTGCAGTTTCACTCGCTTATACATTGCTTATACATTGCCACGAATCCCTTTACATAATTTATAATATTAAATGACAAATTGGTAACTGTAGAAGTATAAGTACCTGCATGAAATACACGGAGGTCTTATTGTGTAGGTACACACAGTGTAATTTACCTAGAACGGTAATAAGAAATATTTCAGCAGAATGGATTTAGATCGAAATGAGGTAGAGGGATTTATTTAGGAATATCGGGGTTGCCGAAATACACATGTTGAGCCTATTTTCAAAACGTCAACTTTTGCGATGCGCACAATAAAATTAACATTTTATTAAATGGAAACGTCCGATTATAGAATAGTAATCAAGCAATTTTGACTGATACAATTTTTTACCATTTTAAAAATTTTCTGAAACACCATTTAAAGTTCTAACACAAAAAAAACCCTATTTCAATGTGAGTCCTCGGGCAAAACTATTTTGTGTCACCATTTGAGTGAGACACACTGTATATAAAACGAAATAAAGAATACGTAAAAAAAACAACATAAATAAACCGTATATTATTATGTTTTCGTTGTTATTTTATATATATAACTACCCAAAAACAATTCCGACGATTAAATTATAATATTATATTTACGGTTTTTGTTTTTTTTTCGCGTTCCTGTTCCACTGCAGTTATTTGCCATAGTCACGTCATATTGTTTGCACAACCTGTAATTATTTAACATTGCAATTACCATTTGTATCTATTTGGTTTTTCCGCTCCTAAATTATTATACGTGCATAATATTACTATAGGTAGGCAGTTTAAATAATTTCAATCAAAACGAGTAACGGTATATGTATTGGCTTTTTGCAACTATTCGTGTTGGTTCGTTTTATCCAACTACACCGTTCATTATTAATGGTTTCGTACCATTAATATTGCAGGTTTCCTATAGTTATTTCGTTCCACAATTGAAATATCCCAAAAATAAACTGATTTAATCTCACTCGTCACTTTCTATACTTGTGCCCTATGTACACTAACTAGAACTATATTTGTGGGCGGGATACATTTATATGGTAACAGTGATCTCACACCACGCCGTTTTTTTTTTTTTATACCGGATTTAATTCGATTTATTATCGCTAAAGAGCAAAAATAATGTTATGATAAGATGATAATAAAATTATTTTACAGTTTACCTATTTATCATTATTCAGGAAACAAAATATTAGAATTTTGTTAAAAAATCAATTTCCATTTTAACAAACTGGATGGGCTATACGGACAAAACTGGATAGGTTTAGCACACCTGACATAATATCCTCTATTTGCGCTTATACTTGCACATAATAATGTTCATTCACGTTATGTTAATTATAGGAAGCGAAAAATTAGCAAAAAATGGAATCACATAAAAACTTTATAGACGGTATAATTTCGAGTCCCAATAAAAAAAATTGCGTAAACGATGGTTCAGCAAAAATTATTGTTCAAGAGCCCAAAAACAAAAAAAAAAGAGTTAATACTGGGGACGGGTGCGGTCACTATTTTAGGTGGGTAGTGAGGAAACTTAGATACATAAAGTTATTTAATTTATACCTGTAACCAACGATAAACCATCAATAACGAAAAACGATTTGAAGTTCAGACCTACATATTTTTCCGTAATATTCACGATTTTTATTAAAATTTGATATTGAAATTGTTATAAAAAAAAAATATATTACATTAAACTCAACTTATTCTTGTCGACCACTAAGTACAACTTATAATGAACATCCCATTATTGTCAATCAATCAATTTTAATTTTTTGGTTTTACCCAATTATTAAGAAAACTACTTTGTAGCGAAGAACAACTTGCTCTGTAAGCCGCGAAATATTAAAAGGAAAAAATCGATTTTTTGTCATTTTTTTAAGAAAAAATAAATACGAAAATACTCATCATAATAAAACCAATAGATCCCTCGCCACATGCCAAATCTAAATTGGGTTAAAAATGTAACATAGGAATGAATTTATTTGTCTGAATATGTTTGTTGAACTAAAATATAATACTGTACTTTAAAGGTCTTTAAATACATCATATTGAGATATTATGAATATATCAGTATTATTTTTTTTTTAAAAAACAACATATTCGAATCAAACCTGAAATTTTCATATAATTTTTTTATTAAGGTTTTCAAGGAGTGGTAAAATATTAAACACATTCTGTACATTTTTGAGCTATTAATAAACATTTTACACTGTTTCATTTTTTTGGTTTCATTCAAAAAATAAAATTATTTTGGCCGAAACATTTGAGAATTTAATAAGAGGTTCATCATAAGCCGTAGTGATCAAAAAAAAAAAAAAATTGAGCGTTATGCGATAGTTTTTTTTTTTTTAAAAGCATTTAAGTTCAAGTTTTGACGAAAAATGTAAAAATCATGATATTTTAAAATATGTTTTACTGAACTTTGCTTAGAATCGTATTTCACTTGCAATGATTTATTGTTGAATACAGATATAAATCAAATAACTTTATGCGCCCTACCTTCCCAACTTCCCGACTACAACGGTTGAACACCATTCAGCAGTATTAGCTCTTTTTTTTTAAATTATTTTATTTTATTTTTACCTAAAACGAATAAAATAAATACTCCAAAAATATTTTACACTCTGAAATTGCTGCCAAAGGCTCCAGCCAGTTTAGCCGGACTTATTGCGTATTGGTAATGTAGTTATAGGAGCATGGATATAAATAATATGAATATTCTTTTTTACGACACAATAATATTACAATATTTTTATACAAAAGCCAAAAAAAAATTTAAAAAATGTTTTACTAATCAATACATACATATAAACAAAATCATATTATTATAAACACGCATAATAATAATATTAGTGTATTATGTATAACGTTTAGTTTATTTTTTGAAAAATTATAAATATTTTTATCAAATTTCAGACAAACATTTTTAACACATGCAATGGTATGTGTTGAAAATACATAATGTATAATATTTTACCATCAAAATTATTTAATAAATATATAAAAAAAAAAAAAGATATTAAATGTTAATTAAGTTCACTAAGTCACTGAGCTATCAATGTGGCCGCTTAGAAAGACAGTTTTAATACTTATTTTATTTGCTACTTTCATTGTTCAATAATGCCGCGACTTTTGGGTATACAAATAATCATTAATTTTAATTAACCAAAATAAATAATAAGTATTAAAACAAAGCAATTATTTGCTATTTGTTCACAAACATAAAAAGTAAATATAAAAAAAAAAAAACCGTAAATTGTTTAAATTTTTGACAATATTTTATAGACACTTAAATATAACCTCAATACAGTTCGATTCGAATCGCTTTCTGGGGAAAAAAAATAGTGGTGAACACCTAAAACTGCTTCTCTAAATGACCGTATAGTTAACATAGAGGAGTTACCTATAATAGTGTCCCGAATTTAACATAGCGATTACATTATAAACTATTATGTTGGAAATTTAATTATTATTATTATTATTTTATAATTTTTTTGTTTTTTTGACTCTATTGAATTGTTCGTTTATTGTTTAAAATATAAATTGATACTAGAAAAAAAAAATACATATAAAATATAAAATATTGCGCCACGAGTTTATAATATTTTATATAAAAAAAGAAACATTAATATTCTCGACTTAACTATGATAATTTATAACGTTATACAGGGGATGTTATTATAGTTCATCGGCTTAGAAATAATTACAATTTATTACCGAATTCGCGGACGACTAAATATTTTATTAATTCGGCAAATCTATCGAAAACGTTACCATTTTGGAAGCGGTCGAATTTTTTTTGCGCGATTCCCTTACCCGGTCTTCCACTTTAAACGACACGAACTCGCAAAACAGTTTCGGATTGAGATTTTCCACGTCGGACTCGAAGAATAAACTCATGACAGTGGTCACCAGTACGGTCACCGCAAACCCAAAGACTATGTAGTACATGTAACTGATCCTGTACAAATACACGTAATCACCGTCGCCGCTGCCTCCGAGAGCCCTGAAACAACAATATTTATTATTTAATCGCGGGTTCGTATTTGTAAGGAATTTTAAACGATTTAAATTATATTACGTGTACGTGTACTAACGTGCGTTGTAGTCGTAATCAAAACAGCCGGAGGGAATTTATTTACTCGGTGTAAACTTACCCTTTTTGAATAACGAATCAGTTTACTTATATACTAACTTGTACTTACTACATCCCCTGACAAGTGTATTTTAAACTTTAATCGCTCAAAACTTTCAAACCTCGTTTGTGACGTTTTATATTATAATGTATACCTACGTATAAACGCTTGGCTAAATAACTATAGGTATTATACCAACTTTGTGATGCGCGGGTTTCGCTGCCAGCGATTTTATCATTAAGTAATCAATGAAATATTCTTACCGCGGTTGAGGGTATTTAAGTAAAAGTACCTATAACTATTAGTATTCGCATAGAAATTTGGCGAAAAAAATTAATGTCGGCGGAATTTTTAGTTATTAAATTTTAATATTTACATGACGGCGTTAATCGAAATTCGCAGATCGTATTCAAAATACATCGTAATAATGTCAGCATGCTTATTTTCTATTCAAAATGAGATCGAACCACTCGAACGACGAAAACTCGTCGCAGTCGCGCATATCCCCGCCGTTAGACTGTCTCCGCCAACCGCCAACGCTTAAGATGCAAATATGCAATGCACGCTCCTTTCGAAAGTACGTGAAATACGTGCACTTTTAAACAAAAATAGCAGAAAAAACCCACAGAACCGGCAATTTTCGACTCTCGTCGAAAATATTGACGGTCAATCGCAGAACGTTTGGTGGTTCAGTCTGCTGCGCGCGCAAAAACGGTTCAATATTATTTTTAATGCGGTATACATGTAGTCATTTAGCCAAACGTAAACGTTATAATAACAATAAAAACAATAGTAATCATAATAATAATACTCACAATGACACCAGGTGGTCATTGTCGATCGAGCTGTAATAATGGCGGCCACCGTCAAACGAGTTCGACAAACATCCGTTCGTATAGGTGGGCAAATCTTTGACCGGCGGTTTCGGCCCTCCTAGTCCCAAAGCGAACGAACACGCGAGTCCGACGAGCAAGCCGATCGTGGTACCCTGCGGCGGCGAACGGGGGATTATTAATTATTTGCACGCAAAAACGACGAGTAGCAATATACAACGGCCTTTGCGGCGTGCAAAGGCAATAAACGTATATTATTATTGTTATACGAACCCTACCTTTCGGTTTACGTACGGTAGGAGTATGCCCAGGGTAAACACCGCCAATATGGGTCCGCCGATAATTGCTAAAATGGTCATCGAAGCTTGTAACAACGGTCCCACGTAATGGGCGCAGGAAGCCAACGACACCGATAGGGTCCCGTAGACGATTACCAGGAATTTGAGCCACATGACACGTCTTTGGTCGGCCATATCGGAGCTCGTCAGCGGCTACATTATACGTATATTGTTATAATTATGTACGCGAGGACAAATTTTGAAAAATATTATCATATAATAAAATATTGGTGCCTCTATAGGCTATTATCAAGGCTCACGACTGTCGTAACATTTGCATGTTTGTTTTGCAAGGTCTTATAGAGACATTTATATAGGCTATGCGCATAGACGCAACTGAGTGAATGCCCAGGAGATTTGCGCGTCCCCAAAAAAATACTGTATATTAAGAAAAATAGGTACCCATCAATTATGTTCCCGGTTATAAACAAATATTGTGTAACAGAAATAAATAATATTTATCTAATATTTGTACAGAATTAGTCACATATACGTACTCACCTAGTTATTTTATTATTTGTGAGATCTTTGCAATTTGTGCGCCCCCAAAAATATTGGTCTAGTTGCACATATGGTTATATATTTGCTTCAGAGATAACCAAATAGTAAAATTTGACATTTTTTGTATACTTCGGAATTCCGTAACTACTTTGATACTTTTTTATTTTTAGCGTTATTTATTGCCATTCCGAAAAATAACTAGGTTAATTTGTTTTTTTTGTCACATTCACTAAACTTTTTCGACATATATTTGTTGTTTAAATTCAAGTGCTTGTATGATTGTTTTTAAGAGTATAATATATCATTTTGTTTATTAATAATAACATTTTTTTTTAAAACTATAAGTAACGAACCCCGGTTTTTATTAATGGAAGAAGCTATGTTATAAATATAATATTGAATGGCATTCACGTGCAGTGGGTTATATATAAGTGCACGAGATGCTATCATTTTTGTCGCCGTGATTTTACAACGTCATCATAACGTTTTATTATATTATTTAATTTGATAAAAGAGAATGATTTCGTGTACGTTAGGTATAAAATCAAATGTATATATGATAGGATGCATAGATTTGACATTTTTGAGATAAACAGACACGAACGGCGAAATTTCGAAACTAAATTTTTTTAATTTCAATTTGTTTATCGATGCGCAGATCTCACGCCGGAATTTTAAATATTTTTTGTTTGTATTTTTCAATTTTTGAATTCTTTTGGTTGCGCGATAAAGAAACGAATTTAATTTTGGTTGTCACTTATTGTCACATCTGACGGCGAGCAATACACCCGGAGAAATGTCAACCAAACTCAGTGTACTGCACATACTATATTTTGAACCGTCATATTTTGTAGATAAATATGTTGCGTGAATAAAAATCCTAATAGCACAATATGGGGAGGAATGGGCAGGAAAACACGGTAAAGTCATAGTTTTTTTTAAATTGATTTTTTACATGTATATTACATACTTTGATATAATCCTCTAGTGTGACGGCGGCCAGCGAGTTAAGAGCCGCGGACACTGAGCACAATGCGGACGAGCAAACGCCGGCCAAAAACAGGCCTGTCAGTCCGGGCGTGCGTCCCATCGTGTCTACCACGAATAGGGGCATCAGCTGGTCTCCACTGGTTATCCGGCCCGCTCTGTATATGACGTACAACAAACACGTATTATAAACGTCGTCGTGATAAAAGAAGGGGAGTTGAGTATATGGAACTGGGATACCAACTTGATCGGGTCGCAGTCCCGGTACTTGGAGAAAATTGCTAAGCCCGAGAAACACATGGCCAATGACAGGAACGCGGTAATCGGCCAAGAGATCCACAGGGTCTTGACCACGGTATTGTAGTCCTTCATGGTCAGATAACGTTGCACCTGCACCTGGTTGGTGGCGTAAACTGACACGTACGTAAACATGCCGCCCAAAATCAGTGTCCACCAAGTGTGTCTGATTGTCGGGTCGATCTGAAAACTGTCGAACAATCCGCACGTTTAAACGATGATATACCTATAATATACGACCTAGCCTTCACCGCCGTCCGAAAACTTTACTTGAAAAATTCTACGCGCCCGTAATCGTAAGCAATTGTCCAGATTTCCATCAAACCACCGACTTCGTACGCGGCCGCTCCGATAACGGCGAAAACAGACGCAAACATGAGCAATGACTAAAATTGAAAATAGGACAGCTAATGATTATCATAGTATTATAGTCTCTCTGTAATAAAATTGTAGCCCATTATTAAGAGGATGTTCACAGTAACATGAGGCGTCTCTGTTTATGCAATGGGCAATATACCAAAAATGTGTTTTCATACTACCAATAGTACCCAGGATCTAATAAACCTAAAACAAAAATTATTTCATCAAATTAAAGACAATAACATTTGCTATACTTTCATGGGGATATTTGTTGATACATATTGATATTATAAAAACACATTTTTGTTGTATAATATGAAAGTTATGACAGAGATAAAAAATGTTACTGTTACTCTAACGGGGATGACGGAATACAGGTTTTGGGTGATGATTTTCAATTATCTTACATTTTTACAAAATACCAAATTTCATAGTAATAACAAAGTATAGGTACAAAGATAAAACGTGTCTGGTTTTATTTTTTACTCTTTTAGTATTATAGAAGTTGTTGGCTATTCGATATGATCGTATTATATTTACTTCAGTCCTATATTAAAAAAACAAAAACGTTATCTAATTTAAAAACCTGGAGCATATTTTATTTTAATTTTTTCCAAACGGCGAATCGTCGTTTTTCGGTGTCCACCCTGTTAATATTTAATACCGCACATACAAAAAATGCTGAGTCAGTAAACTCGTAAAATAAAATATGTAAAACGGTACAACAGACGATCTCATTTAATATTGCTTCCGGCTTTTTCTTTTAATTTTTTTTTTTTGCACGCGAGTCGAGATGATCATTAAATATTTTATCGTTTATTTCTCACAATTTTATCCAACAAAGGTTGCGTCGTTTATTTAGGTGTAAAAATTGAACATCATTCATTTTGTAACTCTGTAAACGACGTATAATTTTAGTATAATATAAACTATTGCCGGTGGTGAATGTAGAATAAGGTTAAGGGCTATATTTACTCTCCCCCCACATTGGATAAAAATACGATAACTATGGCTATTTATTTAGTAATTTTATCTTTATGGTATATTTCAGCCAAGCTGCAAAGAAAAAAGTTTGATAAGTTGAATACATATATACTTTTTTGGATCCGACTTTTAAATTCTCATGGTCAGATTACGTTAAGGTATAACAGAAGAATATACTACGACTTAGTCATGAACCAAGATTTTTATTTACTACATCACTCCTCATTGAAAAATCGTGGGTCTATCGCTGCGGTTATATTTGATGCGATAGAAAACTAGAAAATTATAGTGATTTTGTATGAGTATTATTGAATTTCAAAATTTAAAGTCAATGTATACCAATTTTTACCAATTTAAGTCAATGCGGATACATTAAAATCAACCAAGATTTTTTTAATTTCATTTTCAGATCTTTAAAATGGTTTCTAGAACTCACGAGCATTAATTAATCAAAAATAGCTTTTTAGTAGTTTTTATTTTTTACAGTCTAAATACTTATTTTATCTCAAAAAAAAAAAAAAAATACAAAAATACAAACAAGAAAAAAAAACTGATAAGAGCCATTATTTAGTTCGTATAAAATATAATTATTGAAACCTCTAATGAATTTATCCTTCAAAACTTTCGATAATTTCAACAATTTAATTTTAAAGAACTAAAAAAGTGTATATTTTTCTTTTAACATCATTGCATATTTTTTCGTTTCTTTATTTTTGCTGAGAAATTAGTATGAATTAGACACTAAAAAAATAAAACTAATAAAACAACCATTTATCTCTTGATCTCCAGAAACCATTTTATAAATTTGAAAATTTGAGATGATTATTTTTTACCCAGTCGAACATAATATCACAAAAAGGACGAAAAAAAATCTTGTTCCACCCTACTATATGTAAATATTTAAGCAAACTAAAACATTTTATCTTTTCTAAAAAAATACATTTTTTACTGAACTTTTTTTTGTCGATTGTAAATCCACTGCAGTTAATTGTATCTGCATAAAACAAAAAGTAATTTGTTACCTAGTGTAGCTGGAGAACGCCACAACAAACTTTTGAATCAAATTAATCACCAGTTAACAGACTGCAGGTATTAATATAACTTGGAATGTCAAGTCATTAGGAAAGTGAATCCAGGAATTGCTTGTTAAATCGTCCTTAAACTTTGCAAATAATTGTAAACCATTTTCAGAATGATATTCTAAAAATGTAATTTAGACTTCGTGACAAAAACTATAGAAGACTATTAATTATTGTCTCCCTTGTATTAATACCTACCTTATTATTATTATTATTTTTTTTAGTTTTTCTTTCTCTCATTATTGAGAATCAACTTTAAAGAAATTTGATATTAGGACGAAATGCAATATTTTATTATTTATATACAAAAATAGTTTCTGTGAGTTATTTCAAAGATTTCGTTATAAACTATTGTTCACGTTGTTTCATCTTGAAATATTATTTAATATTAAAACTCCCAAAATATGCCCTGGAAAATACTCGAGGAATTTAATAATGACTTTTAGTTTACAGCGCAGTTATATGTAATAATTTTTTTTTTTGTAACTTACTTACTCAATTAAAATTTAAAAAAATATAATTATGTACGCGCATTAATAGAAATAATCAATTAATTGATTCATCAAATTCGTTTAATATCTTTAATTAAGGTATATTATTGTACTTAAATAATTGGATCATGGTCGTTTATATTATAACTTATGAAACTATATTTAGGTAAATAATAATAATAATTATTATTATTGTTATTAGCCGCCTACGTAAATTTGACAAAGCGTCCGCGGCCCTGACAAGCGAAAACTGGAAATCAAATTACTACTGTAATTTAATTATAAAAAAGCCGTCCGTTATTTCATTTTGTGTATAACGAATTCGTAGATATTATTTCAACGGAATTAATATTAATACTTGTATATTCAGTACCCGTACCTATTATAAATCGTAATATAAATACTATTAGAATGGTAATTATATTGTTAATGAGTAAATATCCCAGTTTAAATCCAAAATGGAGAAAAATACAAGTTTTATTAAGCAAATTACCCCTGAAACCAAGAGGAGGCCGAATAAATATATTTTTAATTATGTTTTGTGGGGTCTTTCTTGAATAATGTTTATGTTATATTAAATACTGTGGCATAGCCAGGAGAGGGGATTTCGGGTGTTGGAACCCTCCTCCCACTGTTTTTTTAGCTACAGGTTAAGGTTAAGGTTGTAGACTACTAAACAATCCTAGGCCTCCATAAACCCCTAGCTATTGATAAATCCTGATTACGTTTCTGATTAAATATATTCAATGTGTACCACGGAAATGATAAAATTAAATATTTTAACCGGACGAACCGATCGAAATGGCATTTTTTTTCAAGTGCCACCTCCTAACTCGAAAATTTAGATTTTTAAGTTAGCAAAATTACTTTTTTTTTTTTTTTGGTATTTTATTACATGATGAATATTATATAATTATTATGAATATGTATTATTATATATATATAATAATATAATAATATTATAATTATTAATTATAATTTGTTTTCCCGATAAAAAAGTCTTTAAATTAATTCTTCACTATCATTATCACGTGGTATATACAGAGTTGAGTAGGTCAAATGTTAATTAAATAGTAGTGAAAACAAAGTTATTTTTTTACAGATAGTTTTGTTGTATTAGGTTAATAAATAGTACATACATATTATTATTGTTATCCAGCCTTCCCTTTTTCATGTATATTACGTAATGTCAGAGACGTATTTACGATTTATTTATTTTGGTGTCCCATTTCTATATCCATTTAACAACATAATGGACTTAATTATAAGGCGCTATAGGTGATGTATCACAGTACCCCACAATAATTAATTTATAAATAATTATATAACGAATACGTAAATTGTATATATTTTCCCGTTTTTCCTGCGTTTTTTTCCGATTTTTACCATTTATTAATAAAAAAATCCTTGGAAAATAAAAAAATGACCTCCTTAAAGTTCCCTTCCAGTCAGATTTCCTTTTAGAAAAAGTGCTATCAATGTAAATCAGAGTAAAATTGCTGATGCAAAAGTTGTTCACAGGGGAAAAAAAGGCCAAAATATTGTTTAACTAATGCTTACATATTCCGTACATTTTCTCATTTTTCCCATTTGTTGATAAAAATCCTGAGAAAAACACAGTACAGCTACAAAATTAAAATATTATGAAAAAATAGACTCAAAACATGTATTTCGGGGTAAAACTTCCTACAAAAGAAAAAATAAAATGCGAAATATTTCATGTTACCACTTCAGACCAAATGAAACGCGCTACATAAAAATAGTCCACAAGTAAAAATATTTATTTTTTTTATACAATGTCTATTGGAAGTTTTCTATAATAGCGTTAAGTCATGAAACACGCTTGTTTCGGTCGCTGTGATATTCTCACGAATGGCTTTTGTTAATATCAAAATAATGTTAAATAGACATCGCAATATCATAATTCATAACTATGATAATTCGCTGTCACTGGGAAAACATGTGCCTACTATATATAGTAGGTATATTTAAATGATAATATCACAACAACTACACGGTAGAGAGTCAGGAATTTCTGACCTTTTCTCAAAAAAAACTTTTAATAAACAAAACAAATCCATGATTATCGAGCCTGATATTCATTTAATCTAGAAAAACATAGCATTATGTTACCTACCGTTTGTTTAGGGAGTGTTAAAAAATTCGCGTCGTTACCCGTGATACGAAAAACCGCTTCTCGGCTACATATGTATACTTTTGGAATTCAAAAATATCATCATGCTCACATTGACTAAAAAATAGATACCTACCTAGTCGACTTATTAAAAACCCCGGAGAAAATATTATGTAAATATTATTCATCGCACTCGGTTTTAATACAGTTTAGTATACATGATGTGAAATTCCATTTTATGATTATATTGAGATTTCCATTTATTGTACAACGTTTCTGTCTTTTAAATTCTGAATGTGGCGAGGGACGCATTGGTTTTACTGTATGTTGCGTGTGTGTTTTTTTTTCAAGTTATGTGCATTAGACAGTTAAGGTAACACTAGTGTGTAAATGAATTTATTCGATAGTTTAATAATCCATCAAAGTTAGAACAGAAAAAAAAGAAATCGAGTGTTAAATTGGCTTTGTAGAAGATTTTGAAAGTAATATTTATTAATTTATATGTTATTAAAAAAACATTTAATTACAGTCAAATCATGTAATGAGTTAAATTAATCCAAATAAATTCTGGTTTAACCCTCAATAATTGCTGGATCTACCCAACTATGATTAACATTATGTCAATATTATTTCGATACCAAGCTTACTCCAGTCGGAAATCTATACTAAAATGTGTTTAATAATGACACGTTTTATTGTAAACTCAACACCATTTCTATGTGTGTGTCTTCCAAAATTCTCAACAACAACAGCGCCGCGCATTCTTCAGCAATATCAGCTCGTTTTTTTTTTTGTTTTTTTTTTATTAACGAGGATTATACAAAAGGTTTTACAATATTAAATATTATATTGTCGAGCTGACCTGAAACAAGTCGGTGATGATCACGGCTTTTATGCCGCCGATCGTCGAGTAAAACGTACATAGGATTCCGACTGCCGCCATCGAAAAGGTCGGCGAAACACCGACGATCGCGTTCAGAGCCAACGAGACAGCGTACAGCATCAGGGCTGTCCGTAAAATCGTCTGCACGCTGAACGCCACTGACGCAATGATTCTGATCGATTTTCCGAAACGTTCTTCCAGATACTGCAATGATAACGTTATTATTATTTTTTTTTAATTTTTCGTTTTCCGAAATCATCCGACTTAATAATATTGCTGTAGCGTAGGTATTTTATTTTTTTTCGATTTGCCGGTATTGCAGTATTGTAAGTGCATAATACAGGTAGGTATCACAGTGTAGTTGTATTCTATAAATACACGAAGATTTGATACCTTTTTGGAGGTAGGGGCTTGAATAATGCTCATATATTATATTGTAATAATAACGGACAGGATTATTATATTTTTTAATACAAATTTTAGTTAGGTTTTGAACAATCTGGAAAAAGAAAAGTTTTTTTTTTATCTATGGACAAAAATGTGCTGATTATTTTTATCTCTGAACAGAGTAACAGTTTTCATCTTCGTTTATATATATATATATATATATATATATATAATATAATTATATCTTTATACAACACTGTGTAAACTGCATATCAACTTAGACGATCGACGGACTTAGATAATATTATTCCGTTCGAAACAATTATGCCAATTTTATGACACATGCAATAATTGATATTTTTCGGGACTATATAAATTTCCTTAAATTGTGTATTTCAATAATGTACGAATCGGACGAAATTTATAAAACAAATGAGCCGCCCACAGCGTAATACTGCAATTCGGACAGACGAATTCCAACGGAAACAGATAATTGGCCACCCAGCTAGACCGAAATAACTCAAATCGTGTTTAAGATAGTGTCGTGAATCAATAATTATGGGCACGATGATTACATCGTCTGTCACGTAAACAAATATTAAATTGAATAAACACGCAATAAATTAAATGTATCGGTATACATAAAAGTGATTTAAAAAATAAATCAAATATTTGGATTATTACGCTGTTTATTTTTCGACAATCGCAAAATGTTCACTACTTTATAAATAATAATAATAATAACAATAATGTGTCCAACATAAACAGTATGATATTGATGTTTTACACTATTCTCGCCGCCGTTATAAAATAGTAAATCTTCTATAAGAAATCCGGAGTGCAATACTAACAAAATTCGTTAGTGTTCGTAGGTAATTTTTTCTACGCGTGACAATACATAGATGTATTGTTATTTTCAAAAACATATAATGCATTTTAATATTTTATTAGGAATTTAAATTCACAGGAAAATTCGAAGCTTGATGCTGCCGAGGGTTATTACAAATCTCCTGGGTAATAAATACATAATATCAACATAAATGAACAGGTGTAACATAGAATGAACATTGGACAATATGGTTGACCAATATGGAAAACAATCGCGAAATAAATAAATGGATAAAACATAAATACACCATACACCATAAGGAATAAAGCATACGAGTAGATATAACGATACGAAAATAGAAGAGAAATTTTAGGGGAAACCGAGGAGAGAAATACCGAGGCAGTAATTTATATAACAAGATTATTTTGAATCACGGGATGGCTAAACATACCTATAAGTAAAGTATTTAAATGGAAAATGTTTAGTGTGACCATTTTGAGAAAAATTAAATTATTTTTTACATTTGGTTGGTACTACTTTAAATATTTATATTATAAATTAATATTCATATTATTATAAATTATAACGATAACATTTTAAAAATTGTAAAGCAAGATAAAGCTTCCTTATCAGTGATCAGATTGAGTAATGTTACAATAATTTGATCATAATTGTATCATTACTTATTGTTATTGTACTTACTACTTATTGTTTAATGCTTTTCAATTTGTGACTCTAAGCGTTTTCCATCTAAATGGAAAACGCTTAAACCATTTAGATGGAAAACGCTTAGAGTCACTTCTTTACACATAACAGTATACGGTAATGTCTCACTATATATTCCTTATTTTATGTGTTGGATACATGGAAGAAATCGTACAAGAAACTAAATGAAGTCGTTATGGGTAGAGAAAAGATAATATTATAGATTATTATTATTATAATATTATAGATTCAATTGGTTTTAGGCATAATATAAATTATATAAAATGTAAATAAAACTTTTACTTGATATTATATTATTACATATTTACCTGATAAACCGACAGGTATCCTAGATTATAGAATACCGGTAAGAAAACATAGGCGACAATCGGAGTAGCGATAATATTCGACAGATTGATAACCATAAACTGTGTTCCTCTTAAGTAATTTTCACTGCTCAAACCAAATATCGACGTGGCACACATAAAACTAGCCATTAACGAAAATGCCACAGGTACAATGGACAATTTTTTATCTCCCAGTAAGTACTCCTAAAAAAAAATTAATTTTATATAATTGTATAATTTTGTCTCTGTGACAGGTCATAATAATACTAACGAATAAAAAATAACAATTATTAATTACAACCGAAAGGGGTTTTTCCGAACCCTCTTCCCCTAATCTTTCTCCAAACAAGATAAAAATTCAACGTTTCTTTTTTAAATAATAACTTATCTTACGTAATTTCATAGATTATTTTTATTTTATGTGGACCTACATTATATTTATTAGTTTCGCATCGAGAAATGTATTGGTTGTACCAAGATAATGAGCATATTTTTTTATGTCTGTGAACATTTCCATCAGAAATCTTACTCGAATTAAAAAACGACATAAGAACTTATTTTGTAGATTTTTGGATTTAGTTGGTGCATTGGCCAGGATATTTTTTTCATTTTTCATGTAGTTTTGATAATACTTTGAAAAAAAAATCGTATAGAATATGCTGATATATTTACGGTATTAAGTTTCATTATTTTTTTTAAATTTTGATTTTGTTTTTCTACCAGCGATCTTGCTCCGAATTTCAACTGTAGCATTTTTCCTGAAAGAAAATGTTTTTTATTGGGTATGTCAATAGTCTTTTTATCATTTTTTATGTATTTTAGATTCTAAGCGGGGCGAAGAAAAGTTTATGGTTTTACAAAGATGTTTATTTTTTTATTTTACTTGTCTATCTGTGCGCAACTTTTCTACCAGAAATCTTACTCAGATTTTTAAATGTAGCACCTTTTCTGAAAAAAATCGGTGTGCGGAGATACTTTAGAGCAGCGGTTCTCAACCTATGGTACGCGTACCACTAGTGGTACGCGAAAAGCTCATAGGTGGTACGCGAAGAAAATTTCTCTTTATAAAAAAATTTGGAATGAATCATTAAATATTATTTGGTTTATTTGATGGTGTGGAAGTCGTTTGTAATCGTAGCAATTAAGATAGCGATATTCTATATATATATAATATAAATCGATAAACTTTATCAAATATACCCGATAAAGCGTATTCTTAATTCACAATAATGCGTTTTTACCTTAGTTTCGTGAGTTCTTTCAGTTTATTCACGAGTGTCATACGAATTGTTTGCATCAAGTTTATTTTATATTAAAATTTTACATTTTTATGTAGTTTTTTCTAACTTTTTTGTGATATAAAATTAAGTAAAATGAAAAGATTTTTCGAAAGCGGAAGCTCAAATACTAAAAAACAGAAAACACAGGCGAATCGTAAATATGACGATAGTTACTTACAATTTGGATTCGTTGTAAAATTTGGTTCTGAGAATTCTACTCCGTTACCTCAATGTGTAATTTGTCAAGAAACACTTTCGAATCAAAGCATGAAGCCATCGCTACTTAAGCGCCACCAATTATCGAAGCATCCAGAAACAGAAAATAAACCTATTGAATTTTTTCAGAGAAAAGTTACTATTTTCCGAAAGGAATCGAAATGCATGTCTAGTTTTACGAACTTTAATGAAAATATCGTTAAAGCATCTTATTTAGCAAGTTTAATTATTGCTAAAGATGGAAAACCACACACAATTGGGGAAACATTAGTGTTGCCAGCAGCAAAAGAAATCGTGCGATGTGTTCTTGGAGACAAGGCTGCAAAAGAGATAGAAAAAGTGTCACTTTCAAACGATACAGTCAAAAGAAGAATTGATGACATGNGCTTACATGGCTGACATATTTGACCGTTTAAATATTTTAAATTTAAGTCTGCAAGGATCAAACACAAACATGTTTTATACTAGTGATAAAGTTAATGCATTTGTGAGAAAGTTGGATTTATTTATTTCGCAAGTATCTAAGAATGATCTTTCAGCATTCGAGACACTTAACACATTTTGGAACGATAACGAAGTTCAGCCAAATTCAAATATAATTACAGACATTTCGGAACACCTACAATCACTAAAATCCAATGTTTTACAATATTTCCCTGAGGATAACTCAGAAATGAAATGGATCATAAACCCTTTCGTAGATGATTATATTAAGAATATTCCAGATGGCATTTTGGCAAAAGAATTATTTATTGACTTAACCAGTGACTCTACCCTAAAAACCGCTTTCAATAACAAAAATATCACTAATTTTTGGCTGGACGTGAAAAAAGAATACTCGGCATTGTCCACACAAGCTTTACAGTTTTTAATCCCTTTTGTATCAACATATCTGTGCGAAAAAACATTTTCTGACTTATTGTACATAAAAAATAAATATAGAAGTAGATTAAACGTAGAAAGTGATTTAAGACTTAAAGTTACCAATTTGGAGCCCGATATTGATGTCATCGTTCGTTCAAAACAACACCAATCGTCTCATTGAAGTAAAAAGTAAACCATAATAATTATAATAATTTTACATATTTAATTTGATTTAATTTAATTTCTTTTTGTGCATTAATTACTTTATAGTTTATTATATATACATATTTATTTTATATTATCTCATTTTGTAATTCCTAATAAAATAAAATTCTATACATGTAACATAAACGTATACATTATTAATAAGCAAAAAAATGGTCAGGTGGTACGTAGAAATTTTCAAGTGGTGTAGGTGGTACGCGACTATAAAAAGGTTGAGAACCGCTGCTTTAGAGGGATCATTTTAGGAGGGAAAACCATAGGAAAATCGGGAAAAATGTAAAAAATTGGTAAAACATTAAACAAATATTATTAAAGAAAATCTATAAGGCCTATTTAATTATTTTGCTATAATATAACATAATATATATTGTTGATAAAGTATCACTGTCAATTTAACTCCGCTCAGAATCGTTTTTTCGTTAGTAATGATTTATTGTTGTTTACAGATATACAACATTAAATTCCATACAACAGTGGCTTCCCCCATCCCCATTATCCTAGGACGTCTTTTTCTGAACAATTTGGTATAACCGAAATAAACTTGGAAAAACGGGAAGGTTTACGACATTCACATTTTCATTATTTTCGATTTTTATTTATAGGTTGAAATTCTCAGAGTACCTATACAATAGAAACCGCTAACTGGACTCGCGGTTAACTGACTTATTCGCTAATTTACCTTAAAGTGGCTGGTCTCGATTCACACGTACACTAACATACAGAAAACATTTTTTCTATTAGACTCATTACACCGGATAATGGGGTCATTTAAAAATAAGATAAATAAATAAAATACCTATATACAATATACATTTATAAAAAGAGTACCGGTATTTTACTCTTATCGTGGAGATTAAATTTTTTTTTCATAATAAATCACACAGTCGTCAATGTTAGTACGGTAAACATACACAATTTTCTTTGTACGTAATTTTATTAGACATAAACATAAATTGTATTATTTCTATGCTCATTTATATTACGTTATATATCAATTTCATATACATATTAATGTGCATAGTATAAGCTGAAATCTCAATAAATATTTTAAATTTATTTAAATTTTTCTATTATTTTTTTTAGTGCTTATTGACTCATTCAGTTAATGGATTCAAATGGCCTGGTTCCAAAGTGAGTCTATTAAGTGGCAACCGCTGAATTAGCCTTTATTAGACGTGGTCAAATTGATTTCATGTAATTAAAAATTTTTAACCGAACAGAAATGTTTGATAATTTAATATGAAGTTCATAATAAGTAGTGCTTAGAATGAAAAAAAATAAATAAAAGGTAATACACAACTTCAAAAATTAGCGTTCCTTGCAATTATTGAAGTCAGTCTCACACGTAGAAGACTTTGCCCTCGGCCAATTTTTGAATATGATTCAGTAATTAATTATTTCCAAAAATAGACGTTCATAACACGTTTTTAGGCTAACATAATAGATAGTGTTTATTTTAGATTCTAATTTACGATTCTACTATGGTATTATGTGTTTTTGTTATTTTTTCTGTATGTGAAAAACTTTTATACCGGAAATCTTACACTGATCATCAACTTTCGAGGTTTATGGTAAAACATTTTTGTCTCGTTGGTACAACGAGGAAGAAATTTTTTGATTTTATTTGTAGTACTTTATGATGTATTTGTTTTTTTTTTTAATTACGAGAAACACCCTAGAAAAAACGTCCGGAAAACTTTCAACATTTATATTTACATAGTAACGGTTTCTGTTATATTCTATTTTGTTTATTTGGTGGAAAATACACCGAATAATTATACAGTTTATAGACTTACTGTTATTGACAGATATGGTACAATTTTCATAACATTCTATTAATTTGTTCAGTTTTTTATAGTCATTTGACATTTTCGAGTATTTTCAAGGACTTTATTTCGTTTTATGTGATTATGATTGTTTTGACCCAGCGAAAATATTCGAAAATTGAATACAAGATTATTCATGAGTTGTAATTAGTGGAAAAAAAAAAGTTCACCATAATGTAGTAAATATTTTTTAAGGGCTTAAAGTTTAAATTTTAATAAAAATTGGTGAAACCAGGAGTTGTTTTAGGGGGATAGATTTTATTTAAAAAAAATATACAGTATGTAAAAAAAATTTAAAAAAATAAGAATTACATAAAAATAAAAAAACATGACCAAGAGAGGGGGGCATCCATGTCACCCTCTCTTGTATTCGCCATTGCATTCCATTTCGTTAATAATAGTGTATCTTTGCGTACAAATATAAACTAAATATAACTATCCTATCCCTTCTCAACTTCCTACCTACAACAGTGGCACACCTATTAGCAGTATCAGCATTTGATTTTTTTTTTTTTTACCCTGCTCAAATTTTTACATTTGGTTTTTGGCTATCAAAAGTGAAACCATAATTTCTCGCTATTGTATACATCGAATTGTTAATATATTTTAGAAAAATAATATATTAAAGAAAATATAACAGTTTTCATACGTCTCCTGAATACCGAATGTATACACATTAGCATAGGTAATATGACAGTTTTTAAATTACAAATTCAAATGTATAAAACCTAATAAGTTATTACTATAAGGTATATGTATATAATTTGGCGTTTTTGGATTTTTAGGACATATTTTATGTTAGGTTAGATTTGATTTCTTACTTCTTCAACATAATTGTTGTCTTTTTTTTTTCTAAGCAAATTTTGATAATTAGTTCATATCTGCACCTATATATATATATATATTGAAATTGATAATTAATTTGATATAAACGTATGCATTTTTTCGAAGTTTTTTTTATGAATTATTTAGCATTTCGATATCGGTCGAAATAATAATATATACCTATACAATAATTTTGTTGATTAATTTACAATTATATACCTATCTATATATCCCAGCGGTTTTCAAACTGGATGCCGCGGCACAATAGTGCGTCCCGAACATTCACTAGGTGAGCCACGGTTTTTTCCATAAATTGTGACGAACTCCCCCGTTACGGTAATCCGCATGTTAAGTATGAAGTCGTAACTCTTTTGATTATGACTATGACTAAGAGTATGCTTTGGTCACAGTGTGCCGTAAAACTATTGTGAAAAGCAAAGTGTGCCGGGATCAAAATGTTTGAAAACCACTGCTTTATTACACATACGAGTGGAACTTCTGACGTTTAGGTGGTATGTGAGTAACAAACAAAATATTGCATTTCAGTGTGTATCAACAGTTTTAACAGTGTAAAAATGAAATCATTACGATTTACTATAAACAGTGGCGTTTTACGAAGTATCCATAATGTATTTACTTAGTCCTAGTTATATTTTGAAATTGGGGACGGTAAGTGAGACGGTAATGTTTTATATTTTGCTTGTGGTATGAAATATGTTTACCACGCAACTAACATACAAATATGTGGTATTTTTATATTTACTTGGGTCGTTTGTTGTTTGCCGCCCGTGAACCGATAGTACACTCCGATCGCCGCGGACATGAGTAACGTGACCAAAAGCACCACATAATCGAAAACACCTAGCGCCATTGATGTGAGAAAGAAATTATACAACAGTATATTAACGTAAATAAAAAATATATATCACATACTACTATTACTATTATTATTATTATTGAAAGATTAAATATTACATAACAACGAGAATAAACTGTATTTATATTATATATGTATATATATATATATGTATGTATGATTACTATTACTATAGTAAAATTTTATAAAAATAAAACCGCACTGAATTTGATTGCCACTTAATTGATGCATTCGAGTTGCTAATACATAATGTTTTTATTGAATACCGATAGTTTTAGACATAATACGTCTTATCATTTGTTTTTTTATTTTTTATAATGTAGGTAGTTTTTACGATAGCTGGTATCTAACATTAGATGTACATAGTACAATGGTTTTAGAGATAAAGCCGTTTACTCGGCTAACAAACGTGGTAGTTTTAATACCCATTTAATCCATTCCATTTTTAGCTATTTCAATAGCGCGATGAGCGTAACTTTGTGTATTTTATGATTAGGTTGAAAAAGACGGACAAACTCCGCGCGATGTGTGGGCCACTGTTATAAGTGAAAATATGGGAAGATAGGATTAAGAGGATGATTTAATGTATGTTAATCAGTACGCAACGATTAATCATTGCAAACGAAAAACAATTCGGAGAGAAGATCGATAGTATACACGTTTTGAAAGGCCGTAATATTTACGATGTTTGTCAACATTTTATATTAGGACTCAAACAAAAAATATAAAAATACTACATAACACTCAATTTTTTTTTTTTGACCACAAAGTTTCACAAATTTGCAAGCATTTCTGTTTGGTCTAACAAATGTATCCACAGATTATACCTACATAACGAAAATTCTACAGAATAAAAAACTCGCAAAATTAAAATGTCTATAAATAGCTTTGAAATGGCTAAAATGATTTGAAAACCACGTTTAGAAAAGATAAGTTTTCTGTACAAATTTTAAGTCTCTACGAACATTTTTAACTGAATCACAATAAAAAACAAAATTGAAAACAATGCATTTCGTAAATTTCCTCACGTTTCCTACGTTTTCCAAATTGTTATGAAAACCGCTTGGAAAATCGAAAAACTAAAAATCAGAGCAAGATTTCTGATAGGAAAGTTCTTTACAAAATAAATAAACATCACTGTAAAACCAATACATTCCTCACTTCGCTCAGAATTGAAAATCATGAATTATAATCGATTAAAGTAATTATATTATTATGTATTTATAATATATTATATATTTTATAATATGTATTTCGTATACAAACGTAGAGTTTAATAAACCCCCCTATAAGATAGATAATGTCTAATAAGAAGTAAATATACATTTATAGACGTTTGAATAAAATTCGATTTGAAAAAATAAATTAAAACCGCCTCTCTAAGCAATCGCAAAATTAACACATTGGAAATAGCCTGCAGTAGCCCGAATTTTTATTTTTGAAACCGTATCTACTTAAATGCCGACGCGTGATTAAATCGAACAATTTATCCTATCTCATTGTTTTTTAAAATCGTGTGCATAATAATGTACCATGGTTTACATAATAATAATAATGTGATGTTATATTTTTATGGATTTTCAATTAGTTTTTTATTGACATTGGTTGTTATGTTCAGTCGAGTGGTTTGGTAATATTAAAATTATAATGAAGCTTTAAAATATCACGATTTATAATGTTTTATGATCCATAAATCAGTGGTTCCCAATCTAGCTATGGTCTACAAGGCCATCCTAATAAAATTGAAAAAATGATTTAGCATACAGCGAATGGGGGTGTTGGTTGTTTATTTATAAATTTATTATGCATTATGTCTCACATTTTATTATTACCCGTAAAATACGAATGATTCGAATTTCCCCCCCTGTTGACTTTTCCTGTTACGATATTTCATGTTTTTTTTTTCTTCGTATAATGATAAGAAATTATAAAAAAAGAAAAGCTGATAGTGAGGACTGACGGAGCCACTATTTTATGTAGGAAATTACGAAGGTAGGTTACCTAAAGTTATTTAATTATATCTGTTTACATATTTGTAAGACATATTGGGAAATTCTGTAATTTTTATGATTTTTGTCAAAATTCGATCTTAAAAAGGCTTATAAAAAAAATGCATTAAACTCAAATTTGTTTTTTAGATAACTAAGCACAACTTATAACGTGCCTACACTGTGTTCAATTTTTAATTATTTTTCTAAGTTATATAATTTTAATAACAGATACCGACTAAATAAAAATACATAGGTATAAAAATATGACTAATCAAATAATGAAAATATAAAATACTTATAAAATAACCTAAAACCAGTTACAATATTTTGAACATTTTACCACGTCAATAAAAGACCAATGTAATAATTTTTTGACAAATGCAGGTCTCTCAATAATTTTTAACCAAATAACAATAAAAAATCCAAATGCCGTATTTCCTACGTTTTTTTTTTGTAATTATTAGGACAACTATACGGAAAATCAAACAACGACTTTCTTACTCACAAACCAGGCAAAATTATCTTTCAGAAAATACGCTATTCTTGAAATTTGGACAATTATTGTTAGTTATAATTATTTATTATTTTATTACTTTAAATTTTGTTTTTTTTTTTTTTGTTGTAATCCAGTCAAAAATATTCGTTGAGACTCAATTTTTTCACAGAAAACTCATATTGACGTTTTCTAGACGATTTTTATTGTATTCATAGGCTTTTATGTTTTCTAGGCTTTTTGCGTATTTTCTATTTGGTAAGTACTATATGTAAATATAATTGTTTGACCAAACAATAATGCTTAAATGTTTAACTAAAAGGACAAATACTTCCTTAGTGTAATATGAATACGGTAAAATACTGTAACATTAATAAGTTTACAAAATATTAATTATATTATTATTAATAATAATGTTTATATGCGTATATGGTGTAATATAACTGTGCATTGATTCTCTATCAGTCGTCAGTAAGTTAATAAAGGATAAAGCCGATTATATGCCTATTATACAAAGATAACAGTCATAATACATTGCATTAGTCTCTATTTTCGTGTAGAATTCGATAAAAAGTACAATGAGTATCTATTTAAATAAAATCCAAAATTAGCAAATCGAGTTTTTTCAAATTTGTAATTATTATAACACGTACGTTTTTAGATACCTAATTGTTTATTTATTTATTCTTGTTTATTCATAGGTTACTTCGGTGATATAGATGACAATTTGGTTGTCACGGACAAAAAAAAATATTATTATTATTAATATTACATCCATTCTTTACACTATTATCAAGAAACAGCAAAGCATTGCCGGGTCAATTAGTATTATCATAATATTTGAGGTTATGTTTAGGTATACCACTAATCATAAATCGAATATTTACCACTCTCCATTTTTTCAAACCTTACTATATGGATTTAAAATAAAGTTAAACCATAATAACACAGTTAGGAATACTGTGCACGGATAATATGATATGATAATACGCTATTTCAAAATCGTTTAGTTTACATTCAAATTAAACAGAACAATATATTGTAGCGACGACAGTTAAGCAACAGAATATTATTGTTCGTGTTCATGTTATGCAGAACTATTTACAAGAATTGTATACTCGAAAAAAATAATATTCCGGGTCAGCGCTTAGCTAATATTATATTATATTTGCGTAAAATGTCAAAAAAATTTTTTTTTTTTTTTTTATTTAAATCATTTGTTATTATATGAATATACATCGATAATACATCGATTTTACCCGAACATCTATCTAACCTTATGTATACCAGGGTGGGCCAAAAGGAATTGTTTTTCCGCGGGTGTATGCTATTAGTATGTAGGTATTATATTAATATTTTATTAGTACAAGTATACAAAGTACAATCAAAATGTATTTCATAAAAACAAAAAATTTTCAGTTGGCGATTTTAAGCGAGTAACGGAATATCGAAAAATATATTGGCTGCGAAATGTAAAAATTTACAAAATGTCGATAAATCAACCCAAAATTGCACTAGAACAATTTTTTTTATTATGAAATCTTTTGCATTTTGTGGTTAATAACTTCAATATTGATTTTCTTCTTATCAGCTGTAAGACTTTATTTATTCCTTATTATATTCTGATGAGTTATCATCTTCATGTTGTTGTTTTGTTCAGTAATTATTCGAATCATTAAGACAAATAAAATACGTACAAATTATGTTATTCATATAAAATTACATTTGTCGATACAATTTAACCTTTTTTTTATTTTCTATTGATACCACATGTTACTATCGTGAACACATTTTTAATTAATGACACAAAAAAATAAGAAATTAACCTTGAACGACGATGGAGATAACTTATAAGTTCATATGTATTCGCCACTACGCATCACGGTGCGTGTGATTACGATATAGTAGTACAACACATTGTAAATTTAAAAAAAAAAACCTCTTATTCGGATGAGTCCGGATAAGTCGGGGATACGAGTAAGTCTATTATTTTTTTTCGCTTTTTTTTTGTTCGACCAGGAAAAAAAACAAAAACACGCAACCCTATACGTGCAACCATCGAGACCTGCAAATTAATAAATAATTTATATCGACTTTGCGTGTATGGCGGACAATTCTTGCGGCGGAAAATTAATATGGTAGAAAAATGTAAAAGCGACTAAAGTTTTCATTCATGATCGCATAACATAATAATATTATAACGATCGTCTGGCGCTATTTTGTACAGCTCAATATTCATCCGAAATACACGCGAGCTATCGCGTTAATACAACGCCCGATTATAAAACCAAACTAATTAAAAAAAAAAAAAAACCCGTCCAAGCGTCAATCGAATCGGACAAAAGTTCATCGTCGAGTACGTACGCTATTTAGGATTATGAAAAATTAGCCGACTATCCGACGACCGCGGCAATATATCAATAGGTAATTATAATATTTTACAAGCGAACGGCGCGGTGTCATCGTTTTAATTAACACTTAGACTTTGCGATATTAATTTAATACTCGTCAATCAATAATAATAATAATACTAATAACAAAACCTACGCGTCGGTATGCAATTCGATTAGGAATATTGAAAAATAAAAATTATAAGACTATAGGTAATTGTTATTATTATTAGGGCCGGATTTAAACGAGCTAAAAATTATCGAAAAATGCTCAGAAAACATAAAATTTAAACATTTCACTATTGACTAGCGACGACAATATTTACTGAATGGCTGTATTTGACTGATTGACTGGAAAACTCGG